ATTCAAGGCATGGGCTACCAAGGTTCCCTTCAGTGAGTCTGACCTTTTCCCAGTCCATTAGTTGAACCAATCCTCTACCTCCTTCAGATCTGGACGTATACAGACGATCAATATCAGCCTTAAGATGATGCATGCGGTGACAATTGAGAAACTTTCTTTTTTCGACGCCCATTCGCTTAATGTCAGCAATGATCCAATTAAGGATTTTGAAACTGCATTGCACCACAGGGACAGCCAAAATTTTTATGATTGATATTCTGTTTTATGAATTCAACTCTTTATTTAACACCAGACGCACACGCCTGTAGTATTCATCTATTACTTTCTCCATCATTTAGCTATGCTGCATTCCATCTCCCTCGCTGACTCATAGGTATTTATAGGCTTCCACTTGTTCTAGTTCCCTAATATTTGTGGCAAAATCTAAATCTATTGCGTGTGTTTCTGTAATTCTCCCTTTCTTGAATGTTACTTTTACACATTTATTTAATTCGAAATTCATACCGATGTCATCACTGAAACATTATCCAATGTTGATGATACCCTTCAACTTATTATCGTCTTTGGCAAAGAGCTTGATATCATCTATGTATAGTAGGTGATGAAACACTTTCGTTTTTACTTTGTAACCATACTTATTACTGTTTAGTTCATGTGAAAGGGGATTAATGACAGATAGACTAGAATACACGACAGGGTGTCTCCTTAAAATATTCTTCGTCGGATATTCAAACAATTGTAAGTAACCAGGTGTAACCGTAAGTTCTATTCTAATATTTTTCTCGTACTCCTTGCCTGTGGAAATCTATTTCGCTTTCTTGCTTCCCTACCACTTACAAACTTTAATAATTTATAAGCAACCTCAATCAATGTCTTTTGTCTTCCTGAACCCTGTTCTTTTATTGTCCTTTCTCATCACTAAAGCCTTCTCATTTTCTTCCACTCCTAATAATCTCTTGCGTCTTAGTGGCATTATCGCCTTGCTTCAAGAGAAAAATTAAAGTAGGTACATGCGTCACAGTTAAATGAGGACGATATGGTGACGGGTTTTGATAAAAGTATCACATGAGCTTCGAGGTGGGTCCCAGTCAGAAATAACTTCAGGTCGGGTAACCCTGTCCCCGCAGACGGTTTCCGATTGAGAGTAATTTCAAGAATCTAAATCTGCCCCCCCCCATGTCACCTTGACTATCTCACTATTCAAACTTAATAAATCATCTCGAGACACCCTCAAGATTCTCCTGTACTATTACGGATCATGCCCACTAGTCTACAGTGCGTTAACTCCTAGGGGGACATGCCTCACTGGTAAATCTGGCAACAAACAAGCAAATCTGTGGCAATTTTTACATTTATGAAATGCGAATGTCAATATATCTAGTATTATGGGGCATTGATAGAGGTGAGTAATGAAAGTAAAAATGGAAGATAAAATGCAACTCGACTCTACCAAATCGGTTCATAAATGGCCTGATCAAAGGATACCCTGCTCTATTTGTTAATATCACGTGATTAAAGGCGGACACCACACTCCATAGAATCATATGTTGAAGTAAGGCCGGATTTCCAGGCGATGACGGGCTCGTAAATCCTAATATAAAACGATCACTCAAGCCTCACCGTACAGTTAGACACGGTTCTTTTTATTGCTTTGGTATAACCAGCAATTCAATGCGGAGAATGTGTATGTTGTTGAAAGATGTCTAAGTGAAATGAAGAAATCTTGTCTCATGTTGAACGAAAACGATTTGAAAAATGAAACCTTGTTCCTCGTTCGTTCGCACTTTCTATTTCTAGTCTACGTCAACTCAAGTCAGAAATTGTTATCAGTTATACAGCAGCGAGCTGTTTTTTTTTTAATATCATTAATACATTCACAGTACAAGAACCCTGGCGACAATTCACTGACAGGCCGGTTTACTTTGACGAAATTCTACTCTAGCTGTGATACTTCGTGCAAATTTTAGTAAAGAAAGAAAGAAAGAAAGAAAGAAATTCTTGCAAAAATAGAAAAATAAAAATAAAGGAATTGCAAGAATAGATAAAAGAATGAAGAGTTGCAAAAACAGAAGAGAAAAAGAATGAATGAAAGAAAGAAATTGCAAATAAAGTGAAAAGGAGGAATAGAAAGACTACAAAAAAAGAAAGAAAATTGCAAAAATAGAAAAAAAAAGAGAAAGAGTTGCAAAAATAGAAAAAGAAAGATGCAAATTGATGGAAAAGAAAGAAAAACTTGAAAAATAGAAGAAGAAAAATGAAAGAAAAAGTTGCAAAAATAGAAAAAGAAAGAGGGAGTAGCAAAAATAGAAAAAATAAAGAATTAGAAAAATAGAAATAGAAGATATAAAATATCAAACTAAAACAATGCCGAGAAAAAGAAAGAAAGAAGGAAAAAGAAGGGAAAAAGAAAGGAAAAAGGAGAGAAAGAAAGAAAAAGAAGGAAAGAAAGAAAGACAGAAAGAAAAAAGGAAAGAAGGAAAAAGAAGGAAAAAAAGAAGGAAAGATAGAAAGGAAAAAGAAGGAAAAAAAGGAAAAAGGAGAGAAAGAAAGAAAAAGAAGGAAAGAAAGAAGAAAAAGAAGGAATGATAGAAAGGAAAAATAAGGGAAAAAAAAGGAAAAAGGAGAGAAAGAAAGAAAAAGAAGGAAGAAAGAAGAAAAAGAAGGAATGATAGAAAGGAAAAAGAAGGAAAAAAAAGGAAAAAGGAGAGAAAGAAAGAAAAAGAAGGAAAGAAAGAAGAAAAAGAAGGAATGATAGAAAGGAAAAAGAAGGGAAAAAAAGGAAAAAGGAGAGAAAGAAAGAAAAAGAAGGAATGATAGAAAGGAAAAAGAAGGGAAAAAAGAAAGGAAAAAGGAGAGAAAGAAAGAAAAAGAAGGAAAGAAAGAAAGACAGAAAGAAAAAAGGAAAGAAGGAAAAAGAAGGAAAGAGTGGAAATGTTATAAATAAAAATTGAAAAAGCACTAAAATGATTAAAAAAAATAAATTATTGACAAACTTGAATGAGTAAATACATAAAGGAAGTGAGCACCTGCCCACAAAAAGATGGCTGCATCTCTTACAGAAGACGGACTCAAATTATTAGGAGGAATAAATAAATAGTGATGAAAAGACAAATCAAGAAACAGTAGATTAAATGAAGAGAAATTGTTGACAAAAATCTCAAGAGTGTCTCGCAAGCAATCGTCCCCCGCAGCGACTGGGCGTTATTTCGAGAAAACTCTTAACAATATTTATTGCCAGCTTGTCGTCGAAATTTCGAGCGCGACACAACATCGAATCGACTTCAGAAATCCACAAAAAATAAGCTCACAGTTAAGCACAAAATGGTTTCTAAAATGAAACCTTCACGTTGTATCAGAAAATAGAGAAAAGATTCAATATGAAACAAAGAAATGTAAAAAAAAAAAAAAGAGCCTCGTTCTGAAAACACATGCATCGTCGTTGTATTCGCGACCATCATTGTGTATCACTTCTATTGATCGTAAATAAGAAACAAAACCCCGCTTTAAAATAAAAGTAAGAAATTTTCATTATTTATGTTGACAAAAGGTTTTTTGCGCGTCTCTATTTTATTTGTGTATTTATTTTATTTATGTCTGTCTGTTTGTCTGACTCTCTGTCTGTTTGTCGATCTATCGTCTACAAAACCGTCGATTGCAGTATCACTTACGATAACGTTTTTGTTGTATTTCTTTCAAAGTCAGAAAAGACGTAGATAGCTACAGCGAAAACAACCTTACTTGACGAAACTTTTTTTTCTATAAACACTTTCATTAAGGCTTTAAAAAAACAAAAGCCTAATAGCATAATATAAGGAGTCTACTGGAAGTCGGACTTTTTTCTTTCTTTTTTGTTTCAATTTTCTTTCCTTTTTTTAAAAAAAACCATGAAGAACTTATTCAAATTGAAAAACAGACAAATTGGAAGGTGAATAAGATGATTGAATGTTGGTGGATGATGTATGAAAAGAAATTATATTTTTAGGTAGCATATATTTCCATTCAGGAAAAAGGCACAGACTTGAACCCATTTACGCAAATAAACCCTAATTAACAACAGTTGTCTTTGATAATCCAAATCGATTGTGTTTTTGTTTTCGAGTTAGGAATTCTAAATACTCCTTTCGGTTGATGTTTTTAATTGTCATGATTTTTTAAGTCTGTGTGCGGAGGTACAATTGCAATGAAGAGAAAGGAAATCTAAAATCTAAGAATAAAGAAAGTTTGATGCAAAAGGTCTATGTTTAATTCCAGAAAAATAGTTACTTAATTACAACACTTTTGATTTAAAATGTGACACTATGTCATTTGATGTGCTTTTAATACGAAAAGTTCCCCACTGGACAAAGTGACAATAAGTTGCCTCTTAAAATCATCTCCCCAAATAGTGTTTGATCAATGACAGTCTTTACTATATATGTAGGGGAAAAGGTTTTCACATTCAAAAGCGAAGAAGTGCTGTTCGGAAAGACTTGATGAGCAGTCGACTTGCAGGAAGAAGAATTTCGACACTATCCTATTCCACGGGTTAAGATGGAGACACACACATAAACTCATAGGGAGATAGGCACATATACACACTCATACAGAGATAAACACATACACACACTCGTACGGAAATACACACATACGCATACTTATACGGAGAAACACACATACGCACACTCATATGGAAATACACATCTAATACACACTGATAGGGAGATACACACATACGCACACTCATATGGAGATACACACATAAACACACTCATACAGAGATAGACAAATATACACACATACAAAGCTACACACTACGGAGATACACACATACACGTACTCATACAGAGATACACATATTCACACATTCATAAGGAGATAAACGCATACTCACACTCATACAGAAATAGATACATACGGATATACACACATATGCATGCACTCATACGTAGATAAACACATACACATTCATACGATGATAAACACATATACATATTCATACGGAGATTCACACACATACACATATCGAAATACACGCATACACACGCTCATACAGAAATACAGAGACACGCGCATGTGATGTTAAGAACTTACGAAAAAATTGATTTACTCTATATGTTAAGTTTGCGTTGTTAAAAGAATTCCCATTTTTTTTTATTAAGAAGTTGTTGGCTACCTTTCGAATGAAAGAAGTGATTGTATCCTTGTGTGGCAAAAATGTAAACTCGATTAAGACTGGTTAGAAGTTTAATGTTTCTGTCTGGCTACACTGACATTATTTCAAGTTGTCAAATTATTAATGTCTGGCTTATTTTATCCTATTTAAGGTTTACGTTACAATATATTTGGTATTTTTATTTATTTATTTCCTTTTTGAAAACTACATCGAGATTTTCTTAAAGGGGTAGACAAATTTGATTAAGTCATATTTTTTATATTATTTATTTATACAAATCTAAAATACTATATTTATTTTACTAATAGACTATATATGGTATTGTAAAAATAAAATTTAATTACGCATTTATAAATTATATAATCCAATATCAAATAATAGATATAAATATATTTATATATCTCACGATCGTAAAGGCGTGAAACCCAGGGTCACAAACTCACATCAACGCAACTAAATATCTTATATATAAATTATATATATATATATATATATATATATATATATATATATATATATATATATATATATATATATATATATATATATATACAGTCTGTGGATGACAATATATATACATGCTCCTGAAAAAATAATATCAGTTGAGCTCTTCGGGGAGAAAAATAAATACGCCTACATTCACCTTCATCCCAGCCGTGCGCCAATGGTTTAGGGGTAAAATCTCCGACTGATAACAAATCAGTCGGCTTTAGGCAATCGGATGTCTAGCAACACTATTGAGCATTAAAACACCGAAACATTCTGTCTGCTGGTGACTATATATATATATATATATATATATTAGACGTTAGATTTATTATTAGATAGGTTTTCTTAGTAAAATTAATACGTAAAATGAAAGATTTACTTAAATTATTTAGCTATAGAGAGCATTGTCTTTAAAAAGATAGATTAAAAATGAATTTGTGTTTGATTTTGTTGTACAAAATAAAAACGACAGATTTCTTACTTCTTGAGAAAATGAATAAGAAGAAAACAACCAAAAACAGAAATGGTTTAAGAAAAAATATTAAACAATGGCTGATCGGCTCCTCTTTCCAATGTACAATAGAAATCGCTTTTGTTTTGATTGAATATTGTTTCCACCTCTTTTCCGGATAATGTATGTGTATATATTTATGGAGTGAGAAAACATGAATAGAGAAAAAATGTTTTAAAGCAGTTTATTCACTTAGCGAAAAAATCTGACGATTTGGCAGCAAGAGAAATTTTCTATATGGGTATGAAAAAACAAACGGGATTTAGCGAGATTTGATTTTTTTTCCCGTTCAACAGAACAGAAAAAAACATTTCGTCATGAGACGAACACTTTCTTTTTTGGTGGAAAACATAATGGGTCCATTGAGAACCTAATTCAAGTATGTCAAAAGATTAAATTACCTTTTGGGTAATATATATATATATATATATATATATATATATATATATATGGAGGACTCTTCCGTCGTATTCGATGTATGAGGGTCAACCAACTCAGTTCCTAGGAACCGACAGCCCAGACACCAGCACATATGATTTGATTATAGTGGTGAAGGTTTTGTACAGAACCATCCACACTTTTTGAAAGGCCGAATACAGAGACCTGGTGGACTATGTCCCTCAAGGACCCCAAACAACCCCCCGCAGGTTTTGAATTCAGAGTTGTCCTTCTCCTAGACCAGTTGCCATTCAAGTCTATAGAACCCAGCCTGTCCTGCTATTTACCTAAAACTCCAGAAAAGGATTCATACCTCTGGCAAGGGTATTAGCACGTAATTGAATGTAATGGATTCGACTGGAATTCGGACTTGACTTCATCCGAGTCGCTTACTACTCCACCGTACACACACACACACACACACACACACACACACACACACACACATATATATATATATATATATATATATATATATATATATATTAAAAAATGAATCTTTTTCGTCCAACACTTCTTGAGAAAGATTTGTTTGCACAAAAGGCCAAACATGCAAAAAAATTAACCTGAACGGCGAAAATGTAAAATTCCTTGGGTGTGTGTGGCGACTGTAAATAAGGAGCCATGACTAAAATAAATTTAATATTAAAACAATAAAACGATGTAAAGAAGCTCCTAGTGAGTATCAAACAGAAAATAAATTATGTACTCACGACCCACACATGAGACACTGAGAACGAAGGAAGTTCTCATTCTGCCTGCACTAAGTCGGTCAATGAAGATTAATATGCAGCTTTTTTTAATCGTGACTCCTTATTTACCGTCCATGGACTTTTTCCCTTTCGCCGTTTATTCATTTTGTGTGTGTGTGTGGTGTCGGGGGGGGGGGTTGTTGTTCCAAGAATCTTCCGGAAGAAGTGTTGGACGAAAAAGGTTCCATTTAAAGAATATGCTCTGTCATTTTTAAAACGAAGTATCCTGCTTTGGTCAATCGAGGTCGGACTCAATTTTAGCAAGACAATACGAGGCTACATACTGCCAGGTTGACTAAGGAGAAGTTCAAACATATGGACGGTGTTGAGATTCTTTCACATCCACCATTCAGTCCTGATGCTGCTCCAAGTGACTATGGACTATTCCTCTCAATGACACACTCCCTCCGCGACCAACGATTCAACACTTTTAATGAAGGAAAGAACATTTCTTTACAGCGGACTATTATCTGAAAACAATACGGATGCTGGCAGAAGATCGTCAAGATATATTAACTTTATTTTGAAGAATAAATTTTGATGTTGCTCCATAAAACTTTGTTGTTTTCTTTCCCCTTCCTAAGTGAGTTAGGACTCTCAGGCCAACCTAATATTTCTTAAAATGTGTCTGTTTTTATTTATTTTGAAAGAAACGATAGGCGGCTTGGGAAAACTAATGGAATTCTGTCGGAATTTTTATTTTGTTTTTCGGTGTTTTGACCTGGTGTAAAATTACGGTAATCTTCATTTTTAGCTATTTCATCATTGTTTCAGTCGGGACACTTGATAGCTGCGCTTAACATAATGCCGAATGAAATCATTAGCACGCTAATAAATCGCATTAGTCATCACTGGCACTGAAATTTGGCTGGAATTTCAAAAATACCACACGACAGCTATGGACACATTACGCAAAAATATCCGCGTTTTAAAGAGATATTTCCCAAGCCACCTATAGTTTCTTTCAAAAGAAATAAATCATCAGACAAATTTTCACACTCAAAAGAATTTCCTGTCGTTGTATTCCCGAAAACACACAAAGGAGAGAAAAACCCTGTTCCTTTTACAACAACATGAGTTAACTCTATAACCAATTCAAAGAGAAACACCACGATTTCTACAGAGGCTGGCAGTTGTACTGATTCCCATTTAATATACGCAGCCGAATGTACCAAACATGACTTAATTTATGTGCGTTGCACAGCAGAAAAATTAAATAAAATATTTAATGGACACAGGTAAGATGTCAGACACAACAATGTAACATCAACGGAGATTACAGAACAGTTTATTACAAATGACAAACATCTTAAGATGCACATTCAGAAATCTACTGACCCTTAAAACGCATGTGGATAGTTACGTACTAACTTAACACGCTAGGGAATGAACAGAATAACAGGAGAGTTCCATAAGATTTATACAAAGTTGTTTGATTAATTCCTCTTGGTAACTAATCAACTAACGGAAAATTCCAAAATGAGCACGATCACCATTATATTAATCATGCATGCCTTCACGTTTAAGGTGTTTCATTCGTTTTGACGCATTCATTACCAGGACAGCCATTTTCCCAAGACAAGTGATCTTTGTACAAAGACATATAATTTTTTGTAGATTTATATATTTTTATACTTGAAAATATTTTTTTAAATAATTTGAAGAAAACGGATATTCTGTTGAAATATTATTTAACATTGTCAAACACTGTGTTGTTTCTTTTCTTAAATAGCGCTCTTCTGTTAAGTATTATTATTATTATTATTATTATTATTATTATTATATAAATGTAGTGTGTTGGTACTAATAGCATAAAGTTGAAGCATTGATAATCTATTTTCGTATTTTCTCTGAGTCGTCTAAATTGTAGAATTGTTAGTGAATTTCGAAGGAAAACGAGGCTCTTTCAGTTGAATCGCATCTTGGGTGCCACTTGTTTTTCTTCTCTGCTGAGGGCAATTCCAGCTGGAAATCCATTGCAAATCTCAGTGCCATGGAAACGAGGCGGGTGTGAAGCCAGTTACTTTCCTGGCTGTTGACTGGAGCGAATTCAGACTGTCTGCGGTCATTCCAAATATAGATTCTGCCCAACCGAATAGCAAATTATGACGGTTAATACTCTGAATAGGAATAAAATCAAACACGACGAGCTAGTTTGCCAGCGGAGGTCTCCCAAATCAAGCTTCGAATGAATTCCAGTATTTTACCGACAATTCTTTCTCTTTTTTTTTCTGTTCTTTTTTTGTCTCCTACGATCTTCATTTCCATCTTTCATGGTTCCTCTTTGCAAAGTCTTCTCTGAGAGTATTATTGTAGGAACTCTCTTTTATTGGTACGGGTAATAAAAACTTCATCATTATCAGCATTATTAATATTATTATTATTATTATTATTATTATGAAGAAAAAGAAGAAAAATAAAAAATAAAGGAAATATATTTTCATCTCTTCCTCTTCATTCCAACATTTTGGCTTAAATCTGTTCTTGTTCTTCTGATACTTTGTTAGTCGTCTGCTCTTTTCATTCTTTGCTTTCTCTTGTTCTCGTCTTCACTATTTTTCATCTCTACCTTTAATTCCCTTGAACTTCGCTTTCTCTCTTTCTTCACCTTTCTTGTTTTGTATTTTTTTATTTCGAATCTTCTTTTTTCACTTTTTTCTTTTTTCTCTTTCTCTTGCCTCCTCTTTGCTTTTATCTATTTCCACTTTCTTCTATTCGTTCCTTTCTATTATCATTTATCTGTGTTAAAACGGACGAAAGCTTTGTTAAAACATAAGAAAGTGTAATATACTGAGAGACATTGAAATGAGAAGGGTTAATACCAAAAACCCGTGGAAAGAATCGAGGATTAAATTCATGCATAAATAACTTGAATTGTATGTTGAGCAGTTTGAACAATGCAAAAGTGATCCAGATTGGGGGGGGGCAATGTTGATTGACACACAGCTGCAAATGCAAGCCGTAAAGCGAAAATTTCATTTTTCGTAAACAACGAATTTGAAGTTGATCCCCTTGGTTGAAAGTTGAGTTGAAATACCAGAAGGGGGGTGGATAAGCCACCCACGCTCACTGAGGATATTTAGTGAAAGGTAATAATATGAGAGAGTTGAAGAAAGGAATTCTACAGAATTATCGAATTATCTTATTTCGCCAGTTTGGGCGAATGTCCATAAAGACGAGTCGCAAAAGAGGGAAGAGAGGCAAAAGAGACAGAGACAAGTCCAGAGACAGGAGGGAGGCCCACGAACGACTCCGATTTCAGCCTTGTGCCAAACTTTACCAACAACAGCAAACTAAATTTTGCTAAGTCAACAACGATAATATCACTTTCAATTTAGATACAGGTTAATTAATTTCATGCGAACTCTGATATATCCAATTATTATACAGAGGTATATTATAAAAAGAGTATTTACTTTTGTTCAATTTATTTGAGTTTTTTTTTCTCTGTAGGTCATCGCCCTGATTGGACCAGCCCGACACGAAGGTACCTGCGACGATTCCATCTTGGCTGCCTTATGATCAAACTTAAATTACAACGTGGGATAAGGTTAGCTCTGAATTGAAGCGGTCCCTTCAGCGACCAGCTGTGGTGTTGGAAGTCTTGGATGACCGGTTAGGGCGTTGTACGTTTACATATCCATGTTAAATTCTGTTTCTTTCTTCTCTTCCCTTTCTTCAATTTTTTTTCTTTCCAGTTTCCACGTCTTCCTTCATCATTATTAACGTCTTTATCTCTTTCTTCTTCTACGTTCTCTGCTCGTCTTTCTTTTTCCCTTTTTCATATCCTTTGTCCTTTTTCTTCTTCGCATTTCTCTTCTCTATATTTCATATTTTATTCACTATTTGTTCCTTCCATGGCTTTTTTTCTTTGTCCTTAATTCTTTCTTATATTCGTTCATCAGCAAATCACACTTTCTCCACATCCTCTTTTGAATTTTCTTGTCAATTCCAAGAAATCTTGTAAGAAAACTCCGAGAAATTCTGCAATTCCACAGTTGCAACAAGACAACCCGATTCCGCACAGAGATTTCGGAAACGACTAGAATAAAAAGAGCTCAGTAAACACAAATTAGATTTCAGATTCAGAAAATAACCTTAACTCTAAACTCTGCCAAAAAGTAGGCGGAATTACGGAAGCGACAAATTCGAAATGATCCGATTTTAATATTATTTAAAAAAAAAATCTTTTTTACAATACGGTTGAACTTTTAGAAGGCCCGAGAGCCACTTAAGTTAGAGATTTACGTTAGGAGGCCACTTGTCCTTATAGGAGGGGAAGATAACATGTAACTATAGCCTTATAACAAATATGTCTGGCCGTTATTTCTGGCAATCGGTTCGAAAACAATTCCTCGTGCACGATGCCGCGTAAGCAATTTTGAACTCCGTCAATTGCAAGGATTTCGCTTCTCCATCTCAGATGTGATGTAGCAGATATGAATCAGCTGAGTTCTACTTAAACTGAAAACAGCGCAACATGTCGCAAAAGTGGATACAGAACATTTACAATCGACCGATTTTTATCAGGAAATGGAGTCAACTTCAAAGTAGAGAGCAAGAGGCTCAGACAGATAGAAAGTCACGGAAGGACGATTAATGACTTTTTTTTAGACGAAGATGACAAGGCAAAGAAAATAGTCATCTATAAAACTGATCATCCTACGAAAAGAAATTCAGGAGGAACGAAACAGGTTTCGCAGAACGGACAAGGAAGACAACCGTTAGACTATTCACCCACTCACCTTCCCCTCATCTCTATTTCGCTCGCTTATAGCACTTTGTGACAACCCAAGAATAAAATCTCGTTTACTACTAGAAATTGTGGGTAATTTTTAAGCCACAAGCAATTGACTGGAAGAAACTGCACCTTGTCAACAAACCTGGTGTCTGGTCTTAGCTGTAACATTTTTGATGTGATCTCTCACAGCTGAAATTTATATCGTATTTACTTTCGCTCTTGAAAAAGTCGCCTGCAAGATCTACATGTAAAAGGCAAACCTGATGCACATCGACATATTTTCCATCTAATAACGATATAAATTTGGAAACATTTTATAAAGAAGAAATTATTGCATTAAAAACCGATCAAATCTGCAACTGTTTCATTAAAAAACTTGGAATTGCTGCATTAAATTCCTATTTCTTGCCTAATAAAGTTGCCATTATCCATATTTCATCGGAACGAAGCAAAACTTCACTCTTAATGGTAATTTGAAAATATTCTAGTTGCAATTCATGAACTTATATAATTCGTCTGTAGATAATTACTGTTATCAAATAAATTCTAATTTTAAAGGAACATTTAGCTTAATAAACGTTTTAAGAAAATTATTTTAGATTTCTAGCGTCTGGCGATCATAATCGATTAAAATACTCAACTGACTTTATGGGATGAAGTATTGCTATTCGCTATATTTTAAAAATAATATCGTAGTTTTCGTTTTTATTCATTTATTTATTCCAATCCTTTTCAGTCATATATTCTTCAGTATTCAGGTTAAATTGTAGAAATTAGAAAAAAAAATTAATGCCCTTTTCTCTTCATTTCACCTGACAATAACAAAATCTTGCTCTATCGGGTAACAATGCATATACTTAGTAAAAGGGCCGATGAAGTTACTTGTTAATATCTATGGTGGACCTACTGTGCATGGTGGATGTGTATATTCTTTCGGCTTTTTTATTCTCCAAAGCTTTTCACGATCTATTATTTTGACTTCTTTCGAATTGTTTCATTTAGTAACCGCCAATTTTAATGGTTATCTGCATAATTCTTGGTCACTCTAACACTCCTTTTTGATTTACATAAATGATCTGCCTAAGAATATACTCAGATCATTTGTAAACATCTATGCCGATAATCTAACTATATAAAAATCTTAATGATTGCCGACTAATCTCTCTTCCGATCTTACACAAACCACCCAATAGGGTTAAAAACTGACTGTTTATATATTCAATACCTCGAAGACCAAGCTAGTTAGATTCCAATAGCACTGATCTGACTCCGAACTACCACCAATCAGGATGAACGGAGGTCTTCTCGGGAAAGCACCGTGCCTTGAAAGACTGTTTGACCGCAAACTCACACCCAACCTCAAGTGGAACTCGTATATACGATCCATTGCTAAGGATGCATGTAAAATGGTCGGCTTCCTGTATCGCTCCAGTAAGTACTTGACCTCTCCTGTTATCCTTTACCTTTACAAGAGCCAGATCAGGCTAAAAATGGAGTACTGTTGTCAGATTTGGGCGGGTGCTGCCCACATCTCACTCTCCAGCCTTGAAAGCTTCTCTGTGCCCTTGTGGGTGATGAATTATTCTCCATCCTACAACCCCTGCCAGATGGAATCTAGCAAGTCTCTTGCTTTTCTATCGCTATTTCCACAGAAAGTGATCGGCCGAACTACACTCCCTGGTTCCGCTAAGTCAAACCTTGTCAAAAGAACACGCCATGCCACTTACACAGTAGCAACCATCCATATTCCTTCTGTATTCCATTGATGAACCGCGAACCACTGCCCAACAGCACTAGAATCTTAACTTATCGAAGCGTAAAATGTCATCGCGGTTATTAATATTACTGACATTATAGATATTAGTGGGCGTACGCCTGAGCAGGTATCTGCTAAAGGGATTGCCTAGCCCCCCCTAGAAGACAGACCAACATTAAGTGCATATAGCAAATCGAGTTCAATCAAAAACGGTGTTATTAAATCTAATGTAAATGACTTTGAGGTGAGATCAATGTCCAAATATTAATGCATACTCTCCTTTACAGTTCCGTCTATAAAGTTAATCGATGTCGACATGTGTAGAAATTGGTTTATTAACTCTTTTTTGTGTATGTGAAAGCTTGTCTAAGGTAGGTACAAATTTCCTGGATGCAATTTCCTCATTTCAGTTTTGTCGCTTTTTTCCCAACATATTTTATTAATGTTAAGGCTGATATCTGGACCATAAAAACAATTCCTGTTTATCATTTGAGCGAAGAAAATTTTGAATGTTCTGAATAAGATTTTTTTAAGAGATTCAATCAGCATGTCATCAACTATCTTCATTTTTTATGTACCGTGTCTCTTCAGGATGTAGGTGATCATGGCTCTCCACAATTTCCTGTCCTTTCTAGCCCCTAATAAATTCTGTTCTTTTGTTATCTCTCTAAACCTTGCTTTACCATCCACTTACTCGAGTTCACTAGGTTGGTTATTCGTTGTTTTTCTCTGTCCCTCTTCACTGCACTTAGTCGCAAGGCCTCTGATCAGGAGACTGGAGGTTTTGAGGAACGTGGAACCACCACTTTATTGTTGTCCCTAAGTCCAACCAAAATCGAGGTGGTAACACCTGTTAGGGTCCCAGCTATGGCCAAATAGTTAACCCCCCAAACTGGGGTGAAAACAATATGAAAGTGTAAAAATAAGTTTTTATAGTATTTACCAACAACACATTTTTGAAAAAAAAATATAACCAGCAATACATTTACTGTTTTAAATCCTGTTTCTTTCTTTTTCTTTTCCCCGTCTTCCTTCATCATTATTAACGTCTTTATCTCTTTCTTCTTCTACGTTTTCTGCGTCTTCCTTTTCTTCTCTTTATTTCTTCATATTCTCGTCTTTCTTTTCCCCTTTTTCATATCCCTTGTTCTTTCTCTTTTTCTCATTCCTCTTCTCTATATTTCATATTTTATTCGCTATTTGTTCCTTCCATGGCTTTTTTATTTGTCTTTAATTCTTTCTTATATTCGTTCATCGGTCAACCACTCTTTCTCCACGTCCTCTTTTGAATTTTCTTACAAATCCAAGAAATCTTGTAAGAATAGGTCCGAGAAATTCTACAATTCCACCGTTGCAACAAAGCAACACGATTCTGCACGAGGATTTCGGAAACGACTAGAGTAAAAAGAACTCAGTAAATTAGATTTCAGATTCAATCGTTATCTTTTCCAGAACAATGAAAATAACCCTAACCCTAACCTCTGCCGAAAAGGTAGGTGGAATTACGAAAGCTACAAGTTCGATAGGATCTGATTTTAATATTATTTTAAAAAAAAAAAACAACATTATTTTACAGGAAGTTCTACCCTTTACAAGGCTCGGGAGCCACTTGTGGTAGAGGGTTACGTTAGAAGGCCACTTGTGCGTATACATTTACAGTTGACACAAAAATCTTTACAAAAATATGTCAATGTAACCTGAGCTACAAACTGATTTCTTACAAAGAATACATATTCTATTCATACGAACTGATCCTCAAAACCTGGTCGACATTAAATAAACCATTGAGGTTGATATTAAAATAAAATAAACCAAACCAACCATCTTGTCTTCAATCTAACCTGTGTGTATTCGATTTTCCAAGCCCGCTTTCCTCACTATGTGTCACAGAAATTTCAACTGTCTCTTCATGGTTTTAACTATGTTTCCATTTTGTTTCCCTTTTCTAGAATATTTCGTCGTTGCTCACATGTTCAGTTCCTTATATCCTCATCATCCTTCTGTAGAACTAGATTCATGATGCCTCAAGTTTCATCTTCATCTGTGAGGAGACTGCCCAGCATTCATTGCCACATACTAATATTACAATTAAGTACTCTTTCCTCGGTTTGTAATGATTTTTTTCTGTTTCTTAATACTTTCCATAGCTTTTGGGAGTTATTTATCGTTATGCCAATGCACTTTTGGATTTCAGTGTTGTGCATTCCATTCCTTTTTAATACGGATATTTCAATTGTTGATTTTTGTATGTCCAATTTGTAATTTACATTTTGCTTTGATCCTTTTTTTACCAACCATGCATTCTGTCGTCTTGCAATTGATGTTTAGTCCTTTCTTCTTGCTTGCTTTCATTTACATTCCGTAGAAGGTATTGTAGTTTCTTTTATGTGTCTGCTATCAACACTGTGCCATCTGTATATCTTATGTTGTTAAGATTGTAGTCATCAATAATGAATCCTGGTAAGACTTCCAATTCTTTCAGAATCACTTACTGTATAGAATAAGTCCGGTGAGAAGGCACATCCTCTTTCTATTTTTGTATATTCACTGAATTCATTTTCTATCCATATGCAAGTGGTTTGCAGCCTGTATAAGTTGTGGATTATTCTGATATCCTTCCCAACTATATCAAGGTTGCTGAGATTTGTGGGTATTTTATCAAAAGCTTTTGTATAATGTATGAATCAAAGGTACACCTCTTTCTGCATTTGTATTTTGCTCTTTCTGATAGAATTCTGAGCATAGGTATCGCATTCCTTATTCCAGTGGCACCAAAAAACCCGCACTTCTCTTGTTTTATTTCCGGTCTGATTCTGTTGCGCTCTCATCAGAATTCAGATGAAATGTTTTGTTATATGGTTCATTGGGATGGTAATCCGATGGAGTTCACATTCGTTTGCAATTGGCTTCTTAGAGAGTGCCAGGGAAATGTATCTACTTGAGTCTTCCGATCACCACTGATGTATATCTCATTTATTATGTCTGTAATGTCAACTAATGCTGATTTGTTTCTGTTCAATTTGGCTAGTGCTGGTTCCACTTCAGGCTTTAATATTTTTGGTCCTTCGATATTTATGCCTGTTACCAGTTATTCCATTAATTTATTTTGCAAAAATTCTTTATCCGTGATACTCATTCTTTCTATTTCTGCACATTTTTCGTTGAGCCATTCCATATTTAGACTCCAAATTTCTTTGTGCAGTGTCCTATATTCTGTGCCGTACTATAGCATTTTTTGTCTCATTCTTATCATGTCGATAATTTTCTTTCTCTATTTTCTTTTGGGAATATCTCAATTACTGATGTTAAAAAAAGCTTCTCTTAATCTGTCCCACTTCGAGTTTCCATCCTCATTTTATCCATTTTATCTGCTTTTAATATCGTCTCATTTACATCCGGGTCATTCGGAAGTTGTATTGCCATTTTGCTGTTCCCTTCTTCAATTTCCGCACTTTTACTTTAAGTATCGCTGGAAAGTGGTCGCTCCCACAGTAAGATCTTAGTTACGTTCTGCAGGGTAAAACTACATTCCTGAAACTCCTATTGATCGTTATATAACCGATTAGTTTCTTGTGTCTCCTTCTGGACTTCTCCATATACGTTTCGGGAGTTCTTGAAACCAGGTGTTGGCTATTGCGTAATGATTCGTACACCATTGGATCAAATTCTTTCCGCGTTCATTATCAGTTCCTAGTCCGAATTTGCCAACTATTTTACCATATCTTTCTTTGACATTAAGTCTCCCATGACGATTGTAATTTCTTACGAATTGAATTCAGCTACAGCGTTGTCTAGCCTCCAATGAAACTATTCAATTTCTTCTTCTGTCTTTTGTGCTGTCGGTGCACATAAAACTATAACTAATATGTTAAAAGGCTTTCCTTTTAAATAATTGACAGTGTCCTAGAAACACATTATTTCATGTCTAAAATCATTTTCTCTCCATCTGCATATATGATCGTGTTTGTCACTGACGAAATTTCCATGGTTTGCCTACCTCTTTTCACATATTGCCTATACAAATACGATGTTTTGATTCTGATGTAAATCTTTCATACTTATCATCTAGTAACAAGATAATATCAAGTGGTGTTATTTAAAGACCTTTCTTTTATTTTTTTATGGTCATCTATACTTGGGAAAAAGCTATTTCCTATAAGAAAGTAGATATAAGAAAAATCCAGAACGTAAGTTAATATTTTGCAAGAACCGATGATTGCATTCTCAAGAACTTTTTACCTAAGCATATTACTTTCTCTGTTATGGCTTTCGATCTAAAGATGGTATAGCCATCTTTAGATCGAAGTTAGTTGAAATTTATTTATAGTACACACACACACACACACACACACACACACACACACACACACATATATATATATATATATATATATATATATATATATATATATATATATATATGCTTTCCTGTCTACTATGATCTTAAATAATATAAATGCTATGTCAATAATCATCTTTTATTGTTCAGCCTGATTCTTTCACCCCCAGTAAAATCTTATATTTTAGTGGATTTTATGACCTTGCTTCGGGCCGAAATAATATTTTTATCTGAACAGGTCTTAGGTGAAGCTGGTTGAAACATAGCAAAGAATGGCGAGATAAAGGAAAAGTAAAGAACGAAACGACTTTCAGAACAGACAACCGATCCTTGCTTTTAGAGGCAATAGAATTTAGTTCATTTGTCGAGCGTTATCGCTTTAACCCTTCCCAATTCTGCAGTGTTGTAGTTTACCTAACTGCGGCCAGTTTGTAAATTAGTAACGTGTTAGCCTTCGTGACAACATATTGCAAAAACAACAGCGCTGCCTCCTGGACTCAGGCCTGAAAACACATTAGATCGCCAAAAGCAGGTCTCCATCCAGTTTGGAAAGGAAAACATTTTGGGGCTGGGAAAATTACTCCACTTGACGAAATTATTTGCGAATATAGTATCTTAGAAGGGGCGATGAAGGCGAGCATGATGTCAACTACATCGCCATATGAGGAATAAATGTTTTCACGTATTGGGTTTTAGGCCAATTTTCAGGGATTTAGTGACGTCATTCTCTTGTTACATAAAGCCAGGATTAGCTCAATCTTTGCCCCCTACCCACCCAATAGAATAGTTGATAGTATTAAGAATATTGAAATTCCACCACCGAATTTTATCTAAGATCCGACCTAGCATGGAGGAGCTTGTTCATATCAAATAAGTTTACTGGTGACGATTGGGGACGAGAGGGGGTGTTTCTTATCTCACTTGATTATGTTAGTTACAACACTATTAATTAACAAGTTCAAACCTAGAAAAGTCCAAGTAATAATTCAATTTATTGCAATTAAATGTTTTTTCGTTCCTCCAACACCTTCCTAGAGACACCAGGTTTCCTGTATGCTTGTAAAATCCAAATTCTCTAGCTTGGCTGTCTAAGGTTTCGCTTTTTCACTTCTTCCCATTCCGACTGGCACCATGCATAAATTCACTTGCTTGTAAAATCTACACCAGTAACTCTGTTATATTCCTCCATAAATTACAGCCACAGCAATTCTCACTTCAACCAGCTACCAAGCCCAGATTTGTAAAATCCACATCAATAACTCAGCTAGAATAGCTTCTGGTAGGAATATACATACCGTACACATAGTTAGATTTCCTAGATGTAATTCAGTCTATTAAAGGGTACATACTAACCATTCAGAAATAAAAATACAACCTACTTTCTCCAACTATGCACTTACCACAATCAAACAAATCCTCACAATCCCTCACTCGGAGATTATTCGTTCACTTATCTGGCGAACGTATTTTCAACGAAACCAAAAGCACTTATGAAACAGCACTAAATAACAGTAGTTTTGTGGTAAAACCAAGCCTAACAGAAATGCAACATAAAAAGAAATATCATTGTAAAATAAAAATTCATAATCAAATATAGGTTAATTCAAAGGGAATGCTCCAAAACTAAGGTAAAGTTACACTGAAAATATTTTACAAGTAAAAAAAATACAACAAAAAATTCACCAGTAAAGCCTAACATTAGTACAACGATCGAATACCCACTAAATGGTAACTGCTTACAAACCAACTTGATATACGAATCTACTGCAGAAATGTCAGAAAACCCAGAAACATTTATCGAAATACCAAGTCCACAGAATCTACTATAATTTGTAGAAAGAAAAAAATCTTATCAGGAACTAAGTTGAATGTCGAGGAAACTGAAATATTGTGTTTGAAAGTACTATATATCGGGTGCTAGTGCCAATGACAGTAGAGTATGGAAGGATTGTGGGTAAGGGTAGTGATTATTATAAAAGAAGATCCAAGACAAGGAATCGACGGGTCTTTCTTTGATATCTATTATTATTCTTGCGAATGCGTAGTCGGACTAGAAGAGAGTAGACGAGGAAATCGGGAGGAGATCCAAGGGACAGAAGACGACTTAGACGTGGGGAGAGAAAAACAATGAAAACGATAAAAATGTGTTACTTTTCGCTGAGATCGAAATCAGGAGAAAGCTAGGTTAGTCAATGTTTTGCTCTTCTGCCATTGAAGTACAACAAAATATGCAAATAGAACAACACTCTCAAAATACCTGTGTAATCTGAAAAATACATGAAAACACACCAAAAACCCAATATAGAAAATAAGAAAAATAGAATCAACTTATAACAACGTTGGCGCAAAATATATGCTGCAGCTGTAGCAACGGGTGCGTCTTCGATAAAATAGCCTTATAATGCCGCTCCTTCTTCAGGTTAGTTTTGAACTCATTGTTGTCCTCTCAAGTGTAAAGATCACTGTCTGCCTAGCTACCTTACCTGATAACGGCGATAAGGTATGAATTCATTCATTTTACAAGGACATTTGTGCGAAACAAGTGAAACGACCTCACTCAATCTGAATTCGGTTTTCTGATTACATTTTCCCAGTCGATAACCAATGAGCCAACAATACGTCCATACACAAATATATGAAATTTTAAAACCAAGTTATAAGCTTCAATCTATTTACTTTTGATCATTTTCTTGAAAACTTTTATTTTATGCTATAAATAACCACAGGTAGTTATCTAATGTTTTCATGAATAATTTTCATTTCTGTGTATCGACTTCTTTCTTCAAAATATAAAGTAAAATTACATTTTATTCAATCAGTTATATATTCATCATTATAAGGTGAATGGTGATGAAATTGAAATGGCATATTGAGAAGGACTAAATTTCTGGCGCTTGTGGCCATGGATGGGGAGTTCAGAAGGGTTGTGGATAAGAATAGTAATTATTATAAAAGAAGAACCAAGACAGTGTGTAAAGGGAATCTTTCTTGATGTCTATTGTTATTCTTCGTAGAAGGGGTAAAGTTGGGCCTAGAAGAGAGTTTGGGAAAGAGTGCTGCGATTTATTAAGCAACTCCTCGATAGTTTTTCAGTAGAAATTCCTCAAAAGTTTCGACGAAATCTTGAATCTGGTTTTCAGTAGAGAACGTTTCCTCATCAAAGCGTTTTGCAGTGATCAAAAGAAGGTAATAATCGGTCGATCCAAGTCCAGGTGAATGTGGTGGGTGGGGTGTCGAACAGACCGACCGAGTTCCAAAATATTTTCCTCTGTTATTCTTGATGTATACGGCCATATGTTGTCATAATGGAAGATAACGTTTTTTTTTTTTTTCCTATTGACGATAGCAGGGTGCTTTTCGATTAAACCTTTATGAACACATTGCAGTTGCTGGATATGTAAATGTACATTTAATGTTTAATTGCCTATTAAGAACTCTAAATAAAGATCCCACCACACGAGCAACATCATTTCTTCCGGGGATTTTGAGATTGGTCGTTGAAATCTACCCTTGCCAATCCATTGCCTTATACATTGGACATTGCCGTATGTAACCCGTTCTTCATCACCTGTAAATAACAGTGAGTTAGGATAATACATTGCTCATTATAATTGGTTATCCAAAACGGAAATTACTTATGACTCAGCCTAAAACTTTGTTTATTTACATATGCGTTTTTACCTCAGTTATTTGTTAATATTAGCTTAGTGATTATGTAAGAAATGTTATGTAACTTTTAACACGTAGGTTTCAAGTTTCATCGATTAATCTTTAACTGACTGAGTGTCGGATTAGCGTAATAGGCTAATCCCTAAAGCCTTACTAACTTTTTTTGAATTCTTGCAAATCGCGATGTGTGCGTTTCGCTCCTTCCATTCTAAGTCCCTCTTCCCATTACTCTATATCATAAATTCTTTTCTTTTCTTTTTCTATTTCTTTTTTTACTCGTTTTTCTTGTTGATTTTTTATTCCTTTTGCAATTTTTAATTTTTTTAAATTATTTCTTGTCCTTTCGTTATTTTAATTTTCCATTTCTTTTTTACTTCCTCTTTTTCTTCTTTCTTTGTTTTTCGCTTTCATTTCTAATTCCTCTCTTTTACCTTTTCTTTTTTTTAATTTCGCTTTCCTTTTATATTTTCTTTCTTTTTTTTTTTCTTACCCATTTCCCCACTATCGATCTCGTTTTTTTCCAATATCGATACAAAATGGGATCAATACACGGAAGTGGACCTAATGGGAAGCGAAAGCAAAAACGGAAAAAGGACGAAAGGGTCGGGAAGAACGAACGGAAAGTGAGGGCAGATTGCAAACCATCTTTTTGATGGCGCTAACAGCTTCAAAACCGATAGGAATCGTCAAACACTGTCGACATAATGCCAAAATGGGTTATAATGGATGTAAAATGAATTCTACAAATTATGCGATCAGCAGCGAGAGATGAGAGCATTTCCGATTTATGTCTTATTTTATATCTTCGAAGCTTTGCGACGCCAAAATACAATTGAGGTAGAAAGAATATACCATCTGAGCAAAATCCTGAACTCTCAATACAGATATATTTACATTAGATAAACATATGTACAAATCCAGAAATTAGGTATACTCAGTGAGGATCAAATTCAGTCAAGTGATTCTGAGAGATTTACAATTCCTACCAGGATATTACTGGCAGCCAGAATTTTAACATCATAAGGTATGCAGATGACACAGTGTTGATAGCAGACATAGAAAAAAAAACTACAAAAGCTCCTACAGAAGATATTAAAGGAAAGCGAAAGAAAAGTAGTAAACATCAATTGTAAGGACACAAACGGTTGTCAACAAAAGGAACAGCTCAAGATGGAGACTAGAAATTGTAGACCCCAGAATCAAGCAAGTACAAAAATTTAAATATCTAGGAAGTCTATATTTCTGAAATGAGGTATTCTAACTGTTTACACTATTGTTGTAACATAGCTACGGACGATAATGGGTATGTCCCCATTCACATAAATACAGTAGTAAATACTGTATGTTGGTCTGCAGTTGGAGATTCATTTTGACTCACTTCTAGCAGTTGACTACTTCTTCTACGCGCCGCTGGCGAATCTTATATGTGTTTTTCGTGTTCTAAGTATTATTACCAACCATTGTGTGATTATTTTGTTCAATACACTTCCCTCGGTTACAACAACCATTTACAACTGTTGTCCTCATCTTTATTTCTATATTCACAACGTTTCGGCCGTTGTAGGCCCCGGCCTTCTTCAGGTGATATATGTTGGAATTTCCAACCGGATCCTTTATTTAGTCCAAGGGGGATAGATTGTTCTAAATCCGCGCGTCAGGACATTTTTTTAAAATTTAATAAAGGGAATTAACTGAAACTGAGATATCAAAAAACAGTCATAGTACGAGGCAACATTCATTGGCCGAGCAGCCAGTGCTATCGTCGGCTGAAATTTATAAAATCTGTCCATTAAAATAATTTTTCAGGAAAATAGGTTTCACAAGTCTTGTTACTTTTAATATTTTTCGTGTATGGAATTGGCAGTTGTTCGTAAGATTTTATTTGAAGTTATCTTAACAAGAGCAAGATAGATCAAAAAGGGATAATTGTTGCAATGTTTGTGTTGGAGTTGCCCAGTTCTAACTTGCCAGATATAACATGATAGGATTCAAAACTATCTACACGGCCTTGTGGGTGATGAATTATTCTCCACCTAACAACCCCTTTCCCGCAGACAAAACGTCATCAGTATCTCGCTACTTTATCGCTATTTCCATAAAAATTGTCCTGATAAGTTACATTTCTTAGTTCCACTATTCATGACTTTCGCAATTTTTTCCGAGACAGACCACTGAAAAATGTTTTTCTGGTCAGTAGAATCTTAACCTCTTCAAATCTAAGGTTATCTGTCCAGTATAACCTTATAAATAATACTAACTCTCTACCTTGAGCGGCTCTTGGGCCTTGTATTGTGTGAGCAATTAGTAAAATATCTAATAACATATCTTTGAGTAACATGTGCTATCGAATTATTTGTTGCTTCTGTGGAAAGTACACAAGAGCTGCACTTTCTCTTATTTAGTAAAATCCTTTGTGATCCTGTAGCGTCAGTTCACTTGCTCCGAAGAAGGATGGTTGTCGCTAAGAGCTTGACACTTCATTCTTTTGAAACTAGCTTTAAATATCGATCTGAAGGAGGAATTGTATACAGATGACAATTTAGATATTTCTGAACGAGTTTTAGCGATATGCATGACACCTATATGAAAGTGTCGATCTGACGAGGCTATTTAATAAGATTTGATAAGATAATAAGAAAATATCTAAGGAAATGAAGATTATGTCGTACTTATCCTGCAAAGGGTCAGAATTTGCATGCTTGCCTTCAAAATCAGCATTCGAAATGCCGTTTTTTTTTGTTTTTTGTTTTTTTATATATATATATATCTCGGCTTGAACACCGACAACTGAAAGACATGAATATTTCTAAAGATTCTGTGCTGCTTATCTGTCACCGCTATTCCTACTAATATCTTCATCTTTGTGGTTATTAGAAAGCTTCTTCAAGCTTCTCCAGGTATACATTTTTGTACAGTGTAGACGAATAGTAAATACGAAAATTATTATTTCTATCTTTTGGTACAAATAGAATGCAGAAACCTGAAGAAAATGGAGGCGTCTAAAAGGCTAAATGTTGTGCATATAACAACATCAAAAAGACATGAAACCAAACAGACAAGTAGATATTAATGAGAATTTACCATTTCAGAGGTGGGAAGAGAAATTACTACAACTCTGTTAAACACCTCGTCCGAAAAGTTCAGTGATGACAATTGCCCATTAGATTTATTCCCCCATATCCCTTCGCTTGTTCTTCATTTTTATCAACGACCTTCCTGATGGCATCAGTTCTCAACTCGCTATCTATGCTGATGAAACAACTATTTACTTCTGTGTTAATACTAAGTCTAATCGGTTAAATAACGTCAACTTGGCAACTTCTCTAAAAAATAGCGTATAATCTGTTGTTAACTGGGGCAATAAATGGCTTGTTAATTTTAACACCTCCAAAATGAAACTGCTCTCTTTTAATCGTCGGAGAGAACTTTTTGCCTTCAAACAGCATAGCTAATGTTAGCCTCCAGAAGAGTGACTCATTACTCCTTCGATGGATAATGGTTTTAATTAACATAAAATGAAAATATTATATGGAATCAATTTCAAGGTCTGCTACTGAGAAACTTGGTTCCCTGTGTCGTTCTAGATAATCTTTCTTGCCAGTATCTACCTCATACATTTATAAGTATACCATTATTGCATTCATTCTCAACTCTGCTATGGTACTTTTGCTATGTATTTGGAGTTTCTTGACGAAAAAGAATATTATCGGTTCTGACCTGGTAACTCGTCTCCAATCATTTCCCCGCCGCCAAAACAGTCTCGCTGTGCCCTTTCTATAAATATTTTCATAGTAATTGTTTTAATGAGCTCTGCTCTTGGCCTCTCGACTTGACGAATTTAAGCACATTACTAGATTGGCTGTTAGGTCTTATAATTTTACTGTTGGAATTGCTAGATGCAACCATCATTTCTATCTTAACAGTTTCTTCTTTCATTTGTGTAACTCTTTGCAGACTCTTACTTTCCAGTCAACTTTGATCTTCAAAGATTTAAATGACCTGTTAATACTTCGGTCTTCTTAATTCTTGTTCTTTTGTTGTTTTCTCTCCTTAATAATGTTTTTCGTTTTCTCATATTCTTACTCAGTAACCCGGTGAGTCTTAGTGGCTTTATTGCCTTGCGTGGAGTGAAATGGTTAAAAAATATTTAATCAGAATTGATAACAGCACCCAAAATATGTCGAAGTATAATAATGAAAATTTCTCGTCTCAGAAATTCTCATAAATTCTTTTTCTTCAAATGTCTCTTTCTGAGACTCATCACATATGTCCTTTTTGGTTCTATTCCCTTAAATCATCCTCGTTGCTCACATGTTTCATTCATTTATTCTCAACATCATTCTGTTGAACAACTTCTTTGTTGCTCCAAGTCTCCTCTTTGTCAGTGAAGACATTGTGCATAATTCACTGTCATATATGAGAATTGATATTAAATAGTAGTTCAAACATCTTTTATTCTTTTCTAACGAAGTACAAATAAATCAGCTCCTTCTAGTGATAATTTCCTCCGTTCGATATTCAATCAGAATTGTTATCTTGCTTAAATAAAAATAAAAAATAAAATTTTGGCAGAAGAGACAAAAAAAGCCAGATTATTTCAAGAATTGTCAATTATTCTGAGATTAAAGATTTCCACCATTCCATCTAATTTCAGACAATAAACAATCTTCGACTGACATATTCAGTAAAAGATCGATTTCTTGGAAATAAAAGAACTTTTCCAATTTCGCCAATTCTCGCGTTATCATAACCAACACGGGACTTCATCAAGATAACTCTTTTAGAATTCAATAAAAATAATAAATGAAAAATACTAAAGACCTTATAACTTACACTGGAGTTTATCAACTGAAAGGCGAAGATAAATTTCCGAAGAATACATGAAAATCAATCCCAACATTTCATTCATTCATTTATATCTTCCGATTACAAATAGTTAAAATGTTATATTTAAGAAGGCTATATTCAATCGATACGGAATATATTAGCAATCAGTACATGCATGTCCTTGTAAAATATGAAATGACCGCAAATAAATGTTCTATTTTTCTAACTATAGCACTACTATATTTGTATACTTCTAAAATTACACCTGAGAAAATAATAGATAACAGTTTGAAAAGAATTATTTTCTGCCTTACGTTTATTTGTAAAGGTTTAAACTTGTATGTTTCTTCGAGTAGCTTAATGCTGGACAAACTGCAGAACCAACTCGGCAGGAGGAAAAAGATTTATTTATCTGAAGGATCGATGGAAGATCTTGTATAGTTTTTATTAATCAAAAGAAGTTTATCTTGGTGGACAAATTATGTCTTTTTAGAGAATCTATCAATCAAATGCGATAGATAGATAGATAGATAGATAGATAGATAGATAGATAGAACGAAAGAAAGAAAGAAATAAACAAACTTGGATATACTCCTTTCTCAACCATAACAGTTTTTTTTTCCAAAGTTAAATAAATCGGTTAATTCAAGTGCTTAAATATTCAAAATAGATAAATTAATATATATGTGATCAAACAAAATGAAATGACAAAAGGAAAACTTTTCTTTACCAAGGCGTTTCGATCCCTGAGGAACTTTATCAAGTTAAATGCGGAAATTTTATTTATAAATTATATTCATGCATAAATGTAAATATTTTAACTTTT